TTTGGCACGAATTATGGCCAATGAAAACGTCAAACGCTGTCCGAATGTTACTCTGAGGCATTTTGATCCATTCCCGGCGAAGCGCTTGCTTGAGGTGATCGACACTTTGGTATTTTTTAGTGCCAACCTTGCTTTCCAAAATACTTCAGACACAATAGTCCAACGGATTGGTATCCGGAGATTTTGGTGGCCATTGTGCTCTGGAAATAAAGCGAGGAATCTAATTTTGTAAGCATTCTTGGGTGGCGCGTGCTGAGTGCGATGGTGCTGAGTTCTGTTGGAATGTCCAACGTCAGCGTCCAAAATGTTTGCGTGCACAAGGCTTTAATACACCCTCCAGAGTATTTTCGCGATAATATTCGGCATTTATTCTGATGTCACGGTCGATTAATTCGAGCGGAGAGCGACCATCGGCTGTTATGGCGGCCCACACCATCATTGTTTGTTTACAAACTGCTGGACAACGAATGTTTTCTCATCGGAGAAAACCAAATTCGGCAGTTCACCACTTTTGGCCAAGCGAAGCAAATCTTTAGCTCTTTTGAGTCTATTTTCTTTCTGTTGCGGTGTAAGTTCTTGCACTTTTTGGAATTTCAATGGCTTTACGCCGACCTCATTTTTCAATATTTGCCGAATGGAATATTGCGATATGTTCAGCTCACGAGCCATTTTTCGGGCACTGCGACGTGCTGAGCTGAAAAAAACACGCTTCTATCAAATCTTATATGAAGTTTACGATCTAATCCTCTAACCCAATTTTAATTTTTTTCTTAATAAATACCCCAAGTTTGTTTGAGTTTGTGAGGGATTGTGAAAAGGAAAATATTTCCAAATTTTGATTTCAACCGAGAGACATGTCCATTTATAGACGAACCAACTTAGGATTTTACAATGGTAACTATATTCTGTTCCACCAAGGCTTTAAGGTTACAACATGAGTCGTGATCGAACCCGGAGTCAGAAAGTGAATGTTGTGTTCATTTTCGTTTTTCAGAGAAGCGGCATCTTCTGATTTCATTAGAAGGCTGAGACTCTTTGAATTTTTTGACTTCGATCGATAGGGAATACTTTAGACACTCTTTTATAATCTTTCATTAATTTCTTGGAAACATATGAAATATCTGCTTGCTCCTTTTAGAAGAAATCGGTTTTTCAACTCTTCAAAATTGCTATGAACAACAAATTTTGAAAAATGCCCAAAATTGATGCATATTTTTTTTTACATTGAAACACTTTAGAGCATCTCAAATAACTGCTTGCCCCGGAATTTTTTTGGCTGCGAAATATTTTCCTTTATTGAATCATAAATCTACAACCTCAAATCAATTTTTTTTTTGTATTTTTGTTCCCTTTCATATTTGATGAAATGTTTCACATGATATCACTTCAACATTTATTCACCCATTCAATAAATGGCATTTTCTTTTTGGGCGAGGTTAAAATAATAGAAATACATTTCCCAGTCTCTCCCCCTAGTTAATATTTTTTGGGCGTGTTATTTTTTGATGGCGCCCAGCTAGCTAGCTGGATGGATGACTGGCTGGCTAGTAGCTGCTAAAACAGCATGTCTCCTCGTACTCTTCGACTCCACACTCCACGTGAAAACGTTAAAATGATAACAGAATTATTTTGCGACTTGTTCGTCGAATGTTTTTTTTTTTTTTTTTTTTTTTGTTGTTGGTTGTATTGCGTTGTTTTCTTTACACCCGGTGTTTTACTTTTCTTTGGGTTTGCAATAGAGATTTCCCGGCTTGACCTAGTTTTCCTTGTTGTTTCATTTGTTTATGTGGTGGTTATTATTCTAGCCAGGAGTTATAGTCACTCTATGCATCCTTCTCTCGGTGAAGTGTTACTCTCCGAAATCAGTTCTGTTATATTAACAGTATAAGAGCAAAGGATACCCAAGTCTCTTATACACTTGTGCTCCAGTCAACAGTAACCACATATTTGGTTATTTGTGTTTGATTTGTTGTCTGTCCTCTGTTTTTTTTTTACGCACTCTGTTAAGAGTCCAGTCTGTCAGTCACTCACTCAGTCATTGAGACAGTCCCACATAGTTTTGTAATCATCATTAAACCCTGCCGTTTGTGGTTGTCTTTTGTGAGGAGGTTTTTTCCATTAGAACTGTAAATAAAAATGCAATTCAAAACAATTTTTTGTTTTTGTCTTCATTAAATTGGAATTTTGTATAGCGACACAGTTGGAAATGTTATTCCTATGACCCACTATTATAAGTTCAACGACCCCAGAGCACCCTCCAATAAAAAGGCGGAAGTTGAAATTTATGTTAAGTGCAGGAAAACGAAATCCATACAAAAGAATGCAAGAAAAAAATAAGTAAAATAGCATCAGTCGCTTTTGCCGACAGATTTATACCTCCAGCCTTCAGTTATGATTACTCAAACTGTTGACCCTTTATATGGGGGAGGTTTCGAATCAGTTGGCCAATATTTGGCCAACTCGTATCTGACCTATGACAGATTAAAATGTGCCAAATCATAAAATTTCGTTCAATTCCATATTTATATTAGATTTCTGATTAAGAGAACTATTTAGATGTAGCAAGTTGTAAAGAAACACCGACTTGTTTCGCATGTTATGACAGGTAAAAGTGTTGGAAATTGTGACCCTTTGTGGGTGAGGTACCAGAATGGGTTGGCAGATATAACATCTTCACAGTAGATCTTGCATAATCTGCACATTGGATTAATAAAATATTGTGATGTGTGCAATTTGAAGAGAACCGGATGCTTATTTCATATTTTATGATCGAGTTGGTTCTGCAAATTGTTGACCCTTTGTGGGGGAGGTAACAGAAGAAATGGACCGATCTCTATCATCTTTATAACAGAATTTGTGTGGATGGAAATATTGAAATGAACCTAGTCTCAATGGAATCGGATGTTAATTTGGTGTTTTATGAGCTTCATGGATATTCTAAATTATGACCCTCTGAAGGGAGGTACCAGAGGGGGTGGACCAATATATCCCATATTCACACCACATCTTGGGTTAATAAAAGTATTGTGATGTGTGTAATTTGAAGAGAGCCTGATGCTTATTTCGAATTTCATGATCGTTTTGGTTATTCAAAATTTTAACCCTTTGTGGGGAAGGTACCAGAAGGAATGGTCTGATCTCTACCATCTTTATAACAGATCTTGTGTTGATAGAAATATTGAGATGTACCAAGTCTGAATGGAATCGGATGTTAAGTTCACGTTTTATGAGCTTCATTGATCTTCAAAATGTTGACCCTTTGTGGGGGAGGTACCAGAAGGACCGTTATATCACATCTTCACACTAGACCTCGGGTGAATAAAAATATTGTAATGTGTTTAATTTGAAGAGAAGCGGATACTTATTTGGGATTTTATGATCGTTTTGGTTATTCCAAATTTTAACCCTTTGTGGGGGAGGTACCAGAAGGAATAATCCGATCTCTACCCTCTTTATAACAGATCTTATGTTGATGGAAATATTGAGATGTGCCGAGTCCGAATGGAATCGGAAGTTAATTCCACGTTTTATGAGCTTCATGAATATTCAAAATTTTGACCCCTTGAGGGGAAGATGCCAGAAGGAGAGGATCGATATATCCCAATTTCACACCACACCTTATTAATATTGTGATGTGTGAAATTTAAAGAGAACCGGATGCTTATTTTGGATTTTATGATAGTTTTTGTTATTCAAAACTTTCACCCTTTGTGGGGGAGGTACCAGAAAGAATGGTCCGATCTTTAACATTTTTATAACAGATCTTGTGTTGATGGAAATATTGAGATGTGCCGGGTATGAATGGAATCTGATGTTAATTTCGTGTTTTATGAGCTTAATGTTTACTCAAAATTTTGACCCTTTGCGGGGGAGGTACTTGAAGGAGTGGTCCGATATATTCCATCTTCACACCAGACCTTGGGTTAATAAAAATATTGTGATGTGTATAATTTAGAGGCAATCGGACACTTTCATCACATTTTATAAGAGTAAAAAGTATTCAAAATTTTGACCCTTTGTGGGGGAGGTACTTGATGGAGTGGACCGATATTGTCTATTTTCACACCCGACGTAGGACTGATGAAAATATTAGGATTTGCAAAGTTGGAGCAAAATCTGATTATCCTTTCTCTTTCTGTGCAGTAAATTGTTTTCTTTGAAAATGTTAACATTTTGTGGGGGAAGTACCAGGAGGAGTGGACCGATATTGCCTATCTCCGCACTCGATCTAAATTTGACAAAAAAAATTACCATGTTCCAAGTCTGGACCAAACCGGGTACTCGCTTCGAGAGTTATCGTGCGCACCAGCCAGCCATACAGACGGACGGACATCGCTAGATCGACTCCAAGTGTCCTGAAATGGTTTTGGTCCAAAGAAATCAGGGTCTACAATCGTTGTTTCGATGAGGCACGTTTTGGCCGTATCAAATGATATATACCCTCTCTAGCCATATGTCTGAGGGTATAAAAATGGGACTTTTGATTTGCCTTTGTTGCAGCTTGTTTTTCTTGGCACAAGAGGACCCAATAAGGAATGCCTCCATACAATTGGATGGAAATTGTTTCAAACCTTAAGGCCTATCTATCCAAAATTAAATAATTTTAAATTTTAATATCCTATACACAAAATTTTGGAAACTTTGTTTGATTCAAACTAGTTAATGAAAGTCTTGAATAATTCAAATTCTAATGCATCACAGATTTGTTTGTCCAAATTTTTTTTTCACCCATTGTTCCAATATGAAATATGAATGAAATCGAGCAAACGTTTTTGATTTATGATTGCATTCTGGTCCATAGACAGATGATTGAATACAAACTCATAATTAATTTCTATTGGCCTTTTGGAAATTAAAATAAAATTCCATTTGGAAACTGACCGATAACGTTTCCAATTAATTAATTTTCTCTCGATCCATTAGTATTTTAGCATTTAAACCACTTAAATAAAATAAAAAAAAATAAATAAATTCCAAAACTTAAAGAAAAACGAAAGACGTGTACAAATCGCAAAATGTTCTCCTGTTGCCGGGCAAATCCTAAAAAATCGAAAAAATCAAACGAAGATAAAACTACGAACACTCAACAACAAGAAAGCCAACAACAAAAACAAAATGAGGACACCAATCCGACGGATGATAAAAAACTTATAATACCCACAATAACCATTGAAAATGGCAAAACAACAAATGATGATACAAATACAATAATAATAACAACGACAACAACAACGACAAGTACAACGAATTCCCCGAATACTACGGTCATCGACAACAAAAGTGAAGAAGTGAATGGAAATCAAACTGACAATGTCAATAATAAGGAAGAAAATGAAAGTGGTGTAATACTATCACCGCCATCGCCACCTCCATCGACAGCATCGACATCGGAACCAATAACGGATATTAATAAGGAATCATTGGTGGAAACGGCAGCAACAGCATCCCCAGCTGCAAAGGAAATCATCATTGGCAATGGTATTGTGTTTTTTTGTATACATTTGTATTTTTTTATGAATTCTCGAATTTCTTCTTATTTATGTCATAATATTCAATGTAATTTTTTTGTATTGTATTTTGTATTTAAATTTAAATAATGTATGAAATTACTTTTTTTAATTGTAAATTGGCTCCATTTCCTATCTTCTATTTATGATTTCTTTCAATTTACGTTGAAAAAATTAATAGTAACTTTCTTACTTTTAAGAATGAAACAAAATTATTTGGCATAGCTTCTATACAATCAAACTCAATTCGGTTCGGAATCCGAAAAATCAAATAGATTTGAATTTTCAATATGAAATTAGGTCCCACCCAGGTTCTTAGTGGGCAGTTAAAGTTCTCGCAAAAAATATTGAAAGTAGGTCCACTTATTGATATAGCCTCCATGTAACGGTACCTCAGGTTAGAGGATGCGCAGTTGCTTAAGCAACTGAAGACCGGTTGGTCCATTGTGATCATTCTGATAAGATTGAAAGGAAAAAAATGAAGAGAGATAAAGATTAAGTTAGAGATTAGAAGTATCCACGCAGAGTTTATCGTGTTGTCTTTTAGACATTTTAGCCTTCCGGCTAGTTAAAGAATTATTGATGGCTCAGTATTGGAGAGTGAAGACAGATCATGCATATTTTGCTTACACGTAAGCCTCTGTCTGGCTCTAAAAAGAGAATGACAGTGACAGAGTAGGTGTTCCACTGTTTTTTTCACTTCCTCTTATTGAAAGCCTGCAATAGTCTCGCCCACCCCCCCACTTAGAAGTCATAGTCCTAAAATTACAGTGATAAAGCCTACAGCGATTAAGCCTACCACAAGTTTTAGGTTAGATTTCGCCATGGAAGTTAATGATCGGAGATCGCCGGCCAAATTTTCTTGGAAGCAATACAGCCTCTTGCATTTTGCCAGTTATGTTGAAATCATCCAGAATGTGTTATGTATTATCTGTAAGCAGTGACACAAGGGTGGCTTCACCGAGCTCTCAATCTCTCATCTCACTTCATGCCAATTCAGCTGCAGCTTCATTGCCAGAGATGTTACTGTAACCAGGAAACCAGCAAAGCTTAATATGGGATTTCACTTTTTTCAGAGCAATCCTGCACTTCTGAACCACCATAGATTTGATGTTGAGTGAATTTAGCGCTTTTTGGGTAGCTTGACTATCGACCGACGGTCCGTTCAGTTCAACTGTTATATTCATCAGCATCTCTGACAGCAGAGATTTCTGCCTGGAATATGCTACAGTCTTTATTGAGTTGGAATTAGTTCCGAATGTTCAGGCTTTCTCAGAAAACACCTGCAACCGTTCCACTTTCCTTCTTAGAGCCGCCGGTATATACAGGGTGAAAAAAAAAATTAATTTTATTGAACGAAAGCAAAAATGTCGGAAATAGCATCAAATTCTAGAATAAGTTTAGTGCTTGAAACAGCCAACACGCTACCCGAATGGTGCTCTGCGGTATTTTGGCTCATTCCCGGCGAAGCGCTTACTTGAGGTGATCAACACTTTGGTATTTTTTAGTGCCAACCTCGCTTTCCAATCTGGAGATTTTGGTGGCCATTGTGCGTTGGAAATGAAGCGAGGAGCCTCATTTTGTAACCATTCATGGATTGCGAGTGCTGAGTGCGATGGTGCTGAGTCCTGTTGGAATATCCAAGGTCTGCGGCCAAAATGTTTGCGTGCCCCAAGGCCTTAAATCATCCTCCAGAATATCTTCGCGATAATATTCGGCATTTATTCTGATGCCACGGTCGATTAATACGAGCGGAGAGCGACCATCGGCTGTCATGGCAGCCCACCATCACCATGGCCGGCGTTGCGTTTCGAAGTCTAGCCTAGGTGATATATAGTCACTGATCAAAACCCGACCCCTATGTTCTCCACATACTTCATAATGACCGAATGTCCGAAAAATTGACCAAGTTCCTTGAGCCTCAGGGCGCATCTCGCTGCTTGTTCCTCTAAAAATAGACTTAAGGGTTTCAAGTTGAGTAGGGTGTCCAAGGCAGACCGAGGTGTGCTCCTAAGTACATCTCTAATTAATAAAGATGTTACTCTTTGGACTTTGTCAATGTTTTTACTGACAGAAGCCTTCCCCAGAGAGTGCCACTAAACTAAACCACCATAAGTCAAAATCGGACAGACAATTGACTCATTTAACAATGTGATGATATACGGTTTATGTGCCCAGCTCTTTCCTATGGAATTTTTGCAGGAGTAGAACGCGTTTAGCGCGTTCCTTGATGTTTCTCTTCCAATTCAGACGCTGGTCGAGGATGATACCGAGATACTTGGCTTCAGAAGAAAAACTCAACGTGACACCATCTAGCGTTTCCACTTCCTCGTAAAAAGAACAAACTCTGTTTTAGATGAGTTGACGACAAGCCCATGTCCATCTTTATAGTTTGATAGGAGCTCCTTGCATTAAGTCTGAAATAGTTTGCAGGAATTTCCCAGCGGTCAACAGAACCACATTGTCAGCTTTAGTTCCGTTATGTTACCGATCTATTAATACATTATTTATCACCAAAAACATAGAAGTGGTGATAAAACCCTCCCCTTGAGTAGTACCCCTGTCCACTGATTTCCTGACGGAGCACTCCCCCAATGCTTGAGTTGATGATTCTACTGCTGAGCATAACATCAACCCATTCAATGTGGAGTAGTGGTAAAGTGTTAGCTTTCATTTTGAACGTCAATGTTTCAATCATGCAGTAATCCACCGCAAGCTTTAGAACCATAGTTTACTAATGTTTTCTCCCGATATTTTCAATTCTAATATCTAGTTGAAGCGAAGTGATTTTGAAATCAAGAAATTTAGGGTTCTCTGTAAATGCTAAAATCAGGCTGGCAGGCAGTTTCTGATTATCTGGTTCAGAAGAGAACCCCAGAAATTGTTGCCATACCGTTTTCTTTCATTCCCTTCTAAACATTTTTTATGCTTTTCAATCCTTTTTTTACATTTTCTATGCCTTTTTTAATTGGTTTGTTTCTGAATTGTTAGATATAAGAGATAGCTTTCAATAGCATTCATTTTACAGTTCTGGAAAATGAAGATACAAATCATCCAAACGACGATGATAATGACAATGACGATGATGATGATGAAAATCAGCAACAGTTGACCAATGACACCAATAAAACAACAACACCAACCACAGAAGCAACACCAAATGATAGTGAAAATGTAAATAATGCAATTAAAAGCGATGAATCAATGGATGCTTCCATTGACGTTGAAAGTGTTGAACCACCATGTCAGACAATGGCAAAAGATTCGGAACCGGTGACGGCTGCATCATCACTGGTCACCGATGAAGAGTGCTCATCGAATGAAACTGCAGTAATGGGCAATAACAACACTTCCAGTGATGCCACTGGAACCAGTACAACAGCCAACACTGTTATCAGCAACAACAATAGCAACAGTCACAGCAACAGCCACAGCAACAGCAACAATACCAGTAGCAATACAGCACCTCCAAAATCATGTCTCTCACGTCACAACTCCACACATACTTCACTCAAAAAGAAACGTGTCAATATCAGTGTTCATGCTGAAATTATAGAACCGGAACCAATGCCAATGTTACCACCATCATCAACGTCACAGACATCAGCCGCCCCGGCGTCTGTGGGCGATGAAGAAGATGATGTGTTTTCCGATTCGTTGCCACCGCCGAAACGTGATAGCATGTGTGCACCGTACATTGAGCGCGACGATGATAACAGCGACATTGTATCGGAGACATTGGCCTATGCTCACGGCTTTCCGGAATGGTTTAATGATGAGAGGTTTAATGACATGTAATGTTGTTTGTTGTTCATCCATATAAATTGTTATTTTAGTTGTTGTTGTTTTTTTATATTTCGGTTCAAACATTGCGATATTTAATCCTAAAATTACTCTGGTATTGTGTGATGGCTATGCAGTTCTAGAATTTCTTGGCAAACAAGAAAACAAATTTAATTTGAATTGGTAATGGAGCCATTGAATGTAAACAAAATTGGAACAATTGTCAATTGGAATTAACGGTTTTTGAGGGGAAAAGCTCCCCATCTTGGTTTGCAAATTCTACATTTTTTGAGGACAAATTATTGAAAAATCTCTATACTTTTATGAAGTTCCGATGTCTAATCATGAAAAATAACTTTTCCCCAATTAAATTTTTTCATATATTTTTTAAAAAGGTATTGGATAATTGTACCGATAGAAAATGCTACACGCATCCAATTAAAATCATTCGCATAGCCAACAATACAAACTGCAGTCATGTTATTTTTTCACACAATTCGGATCGGTGCCATACTTTTTTTTACATTCAATCTTTATTTTGAAACCATTTCCCATTACTTAACGAATCATGTCCATCGATAAATATATATACATTTGTACTTTCACCCAACTACTAAATATTTATAGAGGTTGCATTGAACCACCTGTAACACCAGTGGGACGTGATGAGTTAGAACTAAAACGACAACGCCTCTATGAGGATTTATTGCGTGCAGCACAGGCTGCTGTTGGTCATAGTACAAGGTTTCAACCATTCGCCTTTGCCAGCGGATCGTCATCACTGATACAACAGCCACCGCCGCCGCCACCACCACAATTTGACCGTGGGGGAGGTGAATAGAAATATTCAAAATACACTCACACACATAGATGTTACAGCCACAAAGCTTCCCAAATGCATTATTTTTCTTGTAGATACGTATTTCCTCGCCTCGCACCAACCATCCTTCCCAATTTTCTTTAAATACTTCATGATGCCATTGTTCGTTCGTAAATATAGATGATACATTTATATGTGTTTTGTTTCCAATCCCACTTCTTAGTTTTTTTTTGCTCGTTTTAGATTTGAAACATTTTTACTTTTATTTTATGCCATCATGCCAGTTGAGAGTGGGATAAGGGGGGTGAGGTTAAAACTTAGAAAGTGCTGTCCAATATCCCCTCCAGTGTAAAACGTTAAATGATGTAGTCTTCCTCTAACAAAATGAAACAGGTGCTTTTCACTATTCATCTTCGGACTGCGTCGTACATTCGTGTTAGATCCGAAAATCAAATAAACACCTAACTTTGTGGTTTGTTTTTTGGCCTAAGATTTTTGGTTCAAGTCCCTCCGTATTTAAAAGCGGATATGTTAAATTTTATTTGACTCTCCTTTGTAACTCGCAGATAATTTGGTACCACTCATTGAGGTTAACGAAGTTCTGTCAGACGATTCGATCTAAGTCAAACATTGGTCCACTTCAAGCCCGGAAGGTTGAAGTGTCTGTTTTTTTGTCGGTTTCATCACACAGAATTGTTTTATTTTTGTAGACGTCGTCATATTAATTGCAGGGCCTGGCTGAGAGGCAAATTCGCCCAACATTGAAGTTGATTTTTCAGCTCGTTGAACTTGGTTTAGATGCGCAAAGTGGCATACGAACCCTGTAAAGTCTTGGCTATTACCTGGTTATACTGTACTCTAAATAGTTTCGTTAAATTCTTGCCTTTACTGGTATCGGAAGCCGGGTACTTTGTCATCAACGATTTGAATATCTGCCTTAAAATGTTGAATTCGCACTGCTGCATGCATTGCTTACTGCATCCGAAGATAGTTTCTTTGTATGCAGATATTAAGCTGCTTCAATAATACTTTCGTAAAAAGTGCTATATGAAGGTTCTTCATTAATATTTCCTTGAAAAGTCCACGTCCGTTAAAAACATTCTCAAAAATATTACAATTTATTGTTCCCTCTAGGTCCTTGAGAAATATTTCCTATGAATTCCCGTTTGTAGCATCCACGTTTATAGATCTGTTCGTCCTTTACGAAATGCAGTGATACAAGTTCATGTCTTTAAAAAAATTGAAATATACTCAATTTAAAAGTATATCCCAAATTTCAATTTCAGTGCTATAAAAATTTGTAAAAAATCGGGTCAATAGTCCTTATCAGTCCTAAAATATTTTTTTTCTACTTATCCACATTTATAGTTCTGGTCGTTATGTGTATTTCTAATTTTCATTGCATTACATTCCAAACAAATGTTGCCAAAATAATCACGTTCATAACTTTGTTTTCCTTAAATTCGAGTTCATAGTTCCTATACTTGTCATCAAATGTTTCCTAAAAAGCACTTTTATTCTCGGGTCGTCCTATGTAAATATTCTCTAAAGAAGTATGTGAATTGCTTTCCAAATCTACCAACAAATTCTACTCTTTAAAAGCTTTTAGAACCTTTAATCATAAAAATCGTTAAAATTGAATAAAAACGCCACAATTGGCAACACTAATATGAACCACTATCTCTACTACCACCCCCACCCACTCTTATTCACACATTTCACATTTGTTTATTACAATTTTTGTATGCCAACACAAAAACACAACGAAGAGAGACAATAACAAAACACTTTTAAAAATAGAATTCCAAATTGTTGAAGCAAAATAAGATCACGAAGATGTTATTTTTAATTCAATGGTTTGCTTTTTGTCCTTCTATGAAATATTTAACCGGCATTTTCTGACTTTGCAATAAAAATCAAATATTTAGGTTTTTATTTCATTCCCTTTGCTCTTCTCAAATACCAAAGCAAGAGAGAGCGAATTGCGCCAATCTCTTCACCAACTTTGACTCACACACCTTATTTTATTTGTTGTGACTCATTGTGTTTTTGCAATTCAATTATTTTGCATGTTTTTTCTTCGCCGTCTTCTTTTTTCTTTTCCTTTGCTGTTAATCACATAAATATCGTTTATCTTATCGTTTCGTTGTGACATTCTGTCTTCTAAGTAGTTGGTTTAAGTTTCATAAACGTTTTTCCTTTGAACTCAACGGAAGCCAAAGAAACAGCCGGTCATTTTTAATTAGTTTTATACCTACCACCCACCGTGTCAATACACCGCAGTGCTGTGATTTAAAATTGAAAACTGTATAGAAAATAGTATTTTTCTTATAAGTGTTTGTTTATAAAGTATATATTTTTGAGTTATTTTTGTTGTTGTTGTAACATCATTTACAACCAAACAAGTAAGTATGTCATGTGAATGTTAACAACTGAGAGAATAATGGTTAATTCAATGCAATCTATTGAATTTTTAATTTCCCAAATCCCCAAATACACACACAAATGTTACTGCTAAGCTATTTGAAATGTTCAATTTTATTTGTTACTATTTTTGTGTATGAATTCACGAAATCACTTACAACCCGCTGATGATTGATCTATGTATATATGTATGTTTGAATGTATTTAAGGAGGTGGTGTAATAAGTTTTGGGCTCCGAAGTGTAAAATAAAGTTAGGTATATTGTATGAGAAGATAATAGACCCCCTTCCGTAGAATATGGAGGGAAACCACATATGAAGGTGTGGCCACCCAAGTTACTCGTCAATTTATATGGGACAATCGCTATGGCCTTGGTATTTGTAAACCTAATAACTGATCCAAATAAAAATCTTTATTTTAAAAAGACACATTTTGTACCCATAATGGAAAACTGGGTAGCAGGAAGTGAAGTTGACACTCAAGAGACCTAATATTCATTTGTGTTCATGCCGGCGATCGAAAATGAGATAGAGTGGAGAATATATACAGCGAATAATTTAAAGTTGAACAAAAAAAAAAAAAAAAAAAAACATCTGATATCAATCCAATTTCGATCTAAACTTGTGTATGTGCATTTAATGAATGAAATGAACATTTTGGAAACATCAATTTTTTTACTGAATTTAATTTAGGACCTTTTAGGACCATCAATTCAATGACTATTTTTGAATTAAAAAAGAAATACCAGTTAATTTTGGAATGGTTACACAAAAAAAAAAAACAGAATTTGGCTCAAGGTCTCAACATAGCTAGCTATAAGTTTACCCACTTTGTAAAAAAAAAACTAGTAAAACGCTGGGACGTAGGGACATGAATTGAGTCTTTTTTGAGAGGATGTATTTCACCTATTTTAAAATATTTAAAGCAACAAAAACACCACCAGACCTTGGATTAATAAAAATATTGTGATGTGTGTAATTTGAAGACAATTGGACACTTACATCACATTTTATGAGAGTTAAAATTATTAAAAATTTTGACCCATTGTGGAGTAGGTACTGGATGGAGTGGACCGATATTGTCATTTTCGTACCTGACTTAGAAATGATGCGAATATTAGGATTTGCAAAGTTGGAGCAAAATCGGATGATCCTTCTCTTTCTGTGTAGTAAAAGATTTTCTTTGAAAATGTTGACATTTTGTGAGGGAGGTAGCAGAAGGAGTGGACCGCTATTTTGGATCAAATCGAATACTCCCTTCGGGAGTTATCGTGTGCACCAGCAAGCCAGACAGACAGACGGACGGGCATCGCTAGATCGACTGCAAATGCCCTGCAACGGATTTGGTCCAATAAAAGCTAGGTCTAAAACCGTTATTTCGACGCCTGGTCCCGCCTTTGGCCGCATCAAATGATATATACCCTCCCTAGCCATATGGCACATACAAAATTATTAATACGAATAATTATAAGTCTAAAAAAGTACAAATGCTGTTGATATTTGAGGAACATAATGTTTTTTTCATGAGGACAATAGAAACAGATACTACTATTCTGAACTATTTAAACTTGTTTTGCCATATTAATAGCCGTTTATATCCAAATTGTTACTTAAAAATATCTGCAAAGAACTCCATTTTATATCGCTGTTAAAGTATTTGCTCAAGATTCCATTTTTACAACCATGAGGACCTTCGAAGATATTTGCATAAGCTTCCACGTTTATAGCCTTGATGGATCTTTGAAAATATTGGCTAAAAAATCTACATTCTTATCCCCGTTGGGCCTTAAATAAATTTGCTTAAGAATCGAAGTTTATAACCCTTAATAACCTTTAAAGCCTAACCATAAAAAAATATACCTACAAAATTCATAATTCTAAAAAATCCAAAAAACAAAATCCTCAGAACAGATATATAGCCTCAATTTGCCATCAGAGATTTTGGTCTATGTTTTAAACCCGCGAAAGTACTTTTATAGCAATACAAATTCGTGTAATGTTCATTGTATATTAAGCTGGAGCGAACCTAGACTACAATTTCCTGCTTTCAATCCAATAGGTAATAGGCCTACATGTTTCTGGGCATTTTGGCCAACATATAAGCTTATTGACCAACCCACGTATTACCAAAATAAATTGAGAGGCTTTACTTGTGTACTTTTTGTTGCTGTTGTTGTCCAATATTATAATTACTACTGAGAAAAGTCACAGTAGAACAACAGCAGCAGCCGCTGTTGCCGGTAATGTTTGTAATAACACCAGCAAATACAAATGAAGAAGCAATAACACACACATTTCTATATAAAACAAAATTATATATTTTATACCAACAAAATATCTATGTATTATTTTGTTTGTTCAAAAGAAACATTGTCATCAATTGAATGTATTAGTATAATTCGTTTTTATAAAGAGACAGACAACACACACTTATTTGTAATGAATCAGCCAGCCGCCAGTCAGTCAGTCAGCCACCCAGTGACATGGTTGTACAAGTGTTGTAGGTAGTAGTGGCGTTTTGAAAAGTGTTTTTTTTTTTTCTCTGAAATGAACAAGATTTGGTTTTTGTTTTCATCAGTATCGTTGTCGGCGGTCGTCATCGTCATTGCGGCTTAAAAAAAAGAGAGTAGTACAACCTTTCAATCCAGAAAGAAAGGAAATATGAATTAATTTTGTTTCAATTAATTGTAAAGGTGTGGAAAGAAGTGAAATAAAGTGTCACACAGAATTTCCTCAATTCAAATACTTCAAAAAGGAAAACGAAGCGGTGTATTCTCACTTCACTTTTATCTAGCCTGTGTTAATGGGTCAAACACTAAGTTCTTGCTATGGCAGAACTTTAATTATTCACGACATAAAGAACTGCAATAATCCAGGTAAAAAAATAAACAATTTTCTATGTGTGAAGAAAAACATACATCCATCTCCGCCTTAAGTAGAAATTGTGAAAGTTGGCCTTAAAGGTGGATTATCATTTCGAAGTAAAAAAAATAATTTTTTTTCCATGGTGTTAATTGAAAGAACCAGAAAAATTTTGGGTATTTGTTTTCATATTAAATGCGTTGCGGATTTAATACGAACTGATAATGCAAAGTTAGAAATAAGATGGTTGGCCAATGGATTTCGAACGATTCAAGAATTTTAACAATGAGGGAGTGATTAAAAAATTCCTTGATGGTATACCTTATGATCTTGGAGATTTGTTTGTTCAAAGGAACTTGGTCATATATTGCATGGTGTTTCACAAAAAGTTATATTTGGTGACGGTGATTCATTTTGACAAATAACTTTCCTCAACTCTGGAGTCTGTTTTATTGCTCAGCAAAATTAAATTGTATAAGTTCAGAATGAAGTAGAACTTTCTCGGCTTTTATTGAGCAGTCCACATCGAGTCATGAAAGAGGCATTCTGTTCTTCACATTTCAACAACATTAGAACCACCAATCAAGTCATGCAATTTATTGTTATACCCTCAGGCATATGGCTAGAGAGGCTATATATCATTAGATACGGTCAAAATGTGCCTCATCGAAATAACGGTTTTAGACCCTAGGTCTCTTTTGCCCAAAATCCGTTTCAGGACGTTTGGAGTCGATATAGCAATGTCCGTCCGTCTGGCTGGTGTGCACGATAACTCTCGAAGGGAGTATCCGATTTGGTCCAAACTTGGCACATAGTAATATTATTATCAAACTTAGATCGAGTTCGGAGATGGGCAATATCGGTCCACTCCTTCTGTTACCTCCCCCACAAAGGTTGAAAATTTTGAATATTCATGAAGCTCATAATACACGAAGTTAACGCCCGATTCCATTCAGACTTTGACCCATTAACACATCCTAATATTTCCATCAAAACAAGATCTTTTATAAAGATGGTAGAGATCGGACCATTCCTTCTGGTACCTCCCCCACAAAGGGGTAACAATTTGAACATCCAAATCGATCATAAAATCCGAAGTAAGCTTCCAGTTCTCTTTAAATTACACACATCACAATATTTTCAGTAACCCAAGGTGTGGTGTGAAGATGGAATGTGTCGGTCCACTCCTTCTGGTACCTTCCCCACAAAGTGTCAAAATCTGGAATATTCATGAAGCTCATAAAACACGAAATTAACATTCGATTCCATTCAGACTTGGTACATCTAAATATTTCCATCAACACAAGATCCGCCATAAAGATGGTACAGATTGGACCATTTCCTCTGGTACCTCTCCAACATAGAGGTAAAAAATGCGCACAAAGAAAGCGAGATAAGCATCCAACTCTCTTCAAATTACACACATCCAAATATTTTTGCTAACGCAAGATCTGTCGTGAAGATGATATATATCTGCGAACCCCTTTCTGGCACCTCACCCACAAAAGGCTCACAATTTCCAATACTTAAATGTCATAACCTGCGAAACAATTCGGCGATTCTTTACAAATTTGCTATATCTAAATATTCCTCTTATGATTTCGCATTAAATTTGATATAAATAATTTAAATTGCCTATACCAATACTTTTATCTGTATTAGATTAAGTATGAAAATGGAATACTTCGGCCCTCTATATCTGTTACCTCGTGCATATTTCCATATTTTTCAATAATTTGCACAAATCTCTTATAAAGTATAGGAAGTAGTCGATATAGTCCAAATCTCGCACTTTGTAGTATTTATATCAGTCTTAGGTCAGATACGAATTGGTCAATATTGTCCAACTGCTTCGGAACATCCCCCATAATGGGTCAACAGTTTGAATAATCATAGCTCAAGGCTGGGGGCATACACCTGTCGGCAAAACCGACTGATACTATTTTACTTGTTTTTATTTAAAAGCAGGTAGTGGCTTTTATATCTTTAATGTGCTATAATTTTGTCCAAATAATTCTCAGCATAGAATGGAGTTATAACACAAAACAAAAAATGTTTATAAAATATTCTATTTTCAATAAATATATTCAGATTTTTATTTTTTGTCTATAATCATATAATTCTCTCATGTTTCCGATAAAAATGATAATGTTAGTTTTATAAGCATGTATTGTTCCATTCAAGTTCTTATACACAATTTGATGTGTTCTTTTTTTTAATATTCCCCTTCGATCTTTTTAAACTGCACAATTCTTCTTGTTTACCCTTTCACAAAACTTATTTGACCTTTAAAACTAATAGCAAACAATTTCTAACATTTCTAGATTGTGATCCATCGTTAAAACCCTCAATTGCTGAAAATCTCGAGACATTGGTCAATCGTCTGGAGAAACTTGTTGAGCGTTTGGAACGTTCTATAAGTGCTCGTGAATTGGATATAGCCAATCGTACCTTTGACACTGTACAGAAACGTGCAAGTCTAACGGCTGTAACTGAGACGTCTACTGGCAACGATATTCTTGAAGTAACCAATTTGTCGAGTGTCGACTTACAAACGGAAAAGTTAAATCAACGTATTGGACGTATAGAGGAATCGTTAAGTCGCATTAACGAACGCCACAGCCTTAGCAGTAACAGTGATAGTCAAGCGGAGCAGCAGCAGCAGCAACAATTCAAAGACGGTAGTCTTGAAAATATTCCAACTGTATTAGACGATTTCTCATCACTTCCGCCACCACCGCCGCCGTTAGAACTCAGTATGAGCGTATTGGGCTATCAGGACATCATCAATGGACCATTGAGCCAATATTTGGCTTTGTCGGCCAAAATTGGTGGAGATGTTGCCAAACATGCTGATTTTGTCAAAAAGGCTTTTGAGTAAGAATTCGATTTTTTTTATTTTTATGTTTTCATTAACATAATTGTGTATTCTCTTTTACAGCGCCCAATTGCAATATGTCACCTTGGCCACTCAATGCTCCAAGCCGGACCAAAACAAACAAATGGAATTGCTGAAACCAACATCTGATCAGATTACAGCCATTCAAGATTTCCGTGAAAAAAATCGTGCTTCACCTTTCTTCAATCACTTGTCGGCCATTAGCGAAAGTATACCCGCCTTGGGTTGGGTTTGTGTGGTAAGTAAAATTTAATACGTAAAAAAGCATTAAGTTCGGCGGGACGGAACTTTTAATACCCTCCACCATTTGGTAATAGAAAACAATATTTTTTATAAAAGTATATGAATTCAATCGAGTTCCACTTTAAACTACAAATACCGTTTGGATAATCCTGTTAAACTTTTCAAATAACCATAAAGTGGATGAGGACGTTATTTGGAGGACATACCAAAACGGCTATCTCAATAGACAATTTTATACTTCAAGGATTACCATCTACCAATACCTCTTAAATAGCAAATTTGACACAATTTCGTGGATAAATGTGACTAGGATTATCAAAATACCGAATCAGGGAGTTTCCGTTATATTGGGGGCTATACAAAAACGTGGAGCTATATTTAAAATGTTTCGCCTCCGGAGCTAGAATCCATTATGACCTACCAATTTTTAGACAAATCCCTGGAAAAATGGGACAAAAATCATAAAAATACTGAATATCGAGAGGTACGGTTATATGGCGGCTATATCAAAACGTGGACCTATATATACAATGTTTCTCCACCGGAGCTAGAATCCATTATGACTTACATATACCAATTTTTAGATAGATCCGTGGAAAAATTTGGCAAAAATAATCAAAATACCGATAATTGGGAGGTATCGTTATATGGGGGCTATACAAAAACGTAGATCTATACACACAATGTTTCGCCACCGGAGCTAGAATCCATTATGACCTACAAATACCAATTTTTAGACAGATCCGTGGAAAAATGTGTCAAATATCTTCAAAATACCGTATATCGGGAGGCACCGTTATATGGGGGCTATACCAAAACGTGGACCTATATATACAATGTTTCGCCACCGGAGCTAGAATCCATCATGACCTACAAATACCAATTTTTAGACACATCCGTGAAAAAACGTGGCAAAAATAATCAAAATACCGAATATCGGGAGGTACCGTTATATGGCAGCCATACCAAAACGTGGACCTATATTTACAAAGTTTCGCCAGCGGAGCCCAGAATCCATAATGACCTACAAATACCAATTTTTAGACAAATTCGTAGACAAATGTGCCGATTATCATCAAAAAACCGAATATCGGGAGGTACAGTTATATGGCGGCTATATCAAAACGTGGGCCGATTTATTATTCATTTTCAATACCAACTTTTCTAGACACAATACAAATTATTCTGCCAAATTTTGAAGCTTTACGTAAAATAATGTGGGCTGTATCGTGATTTCAACAGACGGACGGACAGACAGACGGACATCTTTAAATCGACTTAGAATTTTCTGCTGATCATGAATATATATTCTTTATGGGGTCTTCGGAGAATATTTAGAGATGTTACAAACGGAATGACAAAGTTAATATAACCTCCTTTTTAAGGTGGAGGCTATAAAAATTCCATGCCTTAACAACTTTCAAACTAATCTCCCTTTCATTCTCAATTCTATTTTCAGTCTCCCACACCTGGTCCCCATGTCAAGGAAATGAACGATGCCGGTCAATTCTATACCAATCGTGTATTGAAGGAATGGAAGGAAAAGGATGCCACTCACGTGGAATGGGCTCGTGCCTGGGTTCAAACCCTTACAGAATTGCAACAATACATTAAACAAAATCATACTACTGGTTTAGTATGGTCGGGCAAGGGTGCAGCTCCTGCCTCGGGTGCTGTGCCACCACCACCACCCATGGGCGGTTGTCCTCCACCACCACCGCCACCAACCTTCGATATGTCGAACATGTCCTTGGAGGGTGGTGCCGATGAGCGCAGTGCTTTGTTTGCCGAAATCAATCAGGGCGAGAATATCACCAAAAGTAAGTCATGGAATTTAAACCTATTTTCTTTGTCATAAAAAAAAACATTTTTTTCATTTCCTCCACAGATCTGAAAAAGGTCACTGCCGACATGCAGACACACAAAAACCCAACCCTACGCACTGGCCCAGCTCCTTTCAAGGCACCCACCACCCAATTGGGTTCGGCGGTTTCAAAGGGTCCCGCCGTTGAAGTTGCTAAGCCTCCAGTATTCACCCGTGACGGCAAGAAATGGCTGATTGAATACCAGAAGAACAATCCCAATTTGCTGGTGGAAAATGCCGAAATGAACAATGTCGTCTATGTGTTCAGATGTGAAGGATCCACATTGACTGTGAAGGGCAAGGTGAACAATGTTGTCTTTGATTCCTGCAAGAAATGTTCCCTTCTCTTTGACTCGGTTGTGGCCTCTGTGGAGTTTGTCAACTGCCAATCGGTGCAGATGCAGGTGTTGGGTAATGTGCCTACAATTTCCATTGACAAGACCGATGGCTGTCAAATGTATTTGTCCAAGGATTCGTTGGGCGTTGAAATTGTAAGCTCCAAATCTTCCGAAATGAATGTTATGTTGCCTGCCGATGATAATGGAGATTATGTAAGTAGCACCCCCCAACAAATACCATGAAAAAGAAGATTTTATTAAATTTGTTTTCTTTTTTAGACGGAATTGCCTTTGCCCGAACAGTTTAAGACCACCATCAGTGGCAAAGCCTTGAAGACTGTTTGCGTTGATAGCCTTGGTTAAACCAAGCGACAGCTTGTCGTTTGCCAGTTATGCATCTATTGCACATGTGCACCACCACCATGTCACCAAGAGAAAAAAACAACCAACCATCATATTCATTTACAGCAGACGGAAGATGTGCTTATACTAACGTCTTCTTTGTCGGAATAAAAGTAAATCAGAAGAGTTGCCAACAGTAAATCAAAACATTAAAGAAAACATTTGCTAAACCATATAATCATTATTGCATAAGAAAAAAACAAAAACAACAAATACTAAAAACAAATCACTTTTGATAGCAACATGAAAAACTTTTAAAATATTTATTCTAAAATTAATAATAAAAGAAATAAATTAAAAATGAAAAACGTTCTAAAAAAACACACATAAAAACCATCCTTTGTATTTTGTGTCCTTTCTTATCAACTGCTCTTCTTTGTCCATCTGTGGTCCATCAAATAAATGCAATTAAGTATTTGAACAATTTCTTTTACATATTTTTTGTTTGTTTATTATTTATTTAGTCTTTTATTATTTTGTATTATTAAATTTTATTTTTTTTTTACATTAATATTTAAACATCTTATTTGTGTATTTTTTTTTAATTTACATTTCTTTTCATTTTTTGGCAAATAAAAAATTGAAAGAAAAATAAGGCAGTGATGTGTTTGGAAGATAAGACGCTAAATGTGCAAAAATAGAGATTTATTTAAAATCCGGGAATATCACTTTGAAAATTATCCTTGAAATCTCCCGAGTATTGATGCAACAGATACTCAACGATATTTTTAAAAGTATTGCAACGGTGCTATATGTTCTTGAAAATATGTTTAAGAATCCAAAATTGTTACTATAATGTCATTAATAACTTGAATATTTACGGAATATAAATAATTCGCGAGAATTTAAAATATCCTCGAGAATCAGTATTTGAATAAATATATTCAAAAATTCTCCAGCGTTACAAAATATCCCCGAAAGTTCGAAAACATTGGAGAAAATATCCTTGAAATTCCACTGCAATCAATGAGTATTGCTAAAGTAAACCTGCTTGTGTTGCAAAAATACCCTTGAAAATAAAGGAGCATTTGGAAAATATCTTCAAAAGTCCAAAAGAATTGAGGCAGTATTTTCAAATCTGCTGGCGAGGCTGAAAATCCTTAAAAATTCCCAGGTGTGTATGGGTATTTATTTTCCACATCAACAACGTCCCCGAGTGTCTCTGAGCAGTGCGAAAAAAACATTTTAAAATGTACCTGTTTTGCTAAAATATCCTTTGAACCCATGAAAATATCCCTGAAAATCAATGAGGATTGTGAACATTCTGAAAAATATCCTTGAAACCATTAGTATTGGGTAGATAGCCTGGAATATGGGGGTTATACCAATTAGTGGGAAAATATTCTTGAAAATCCATGAGGATTGTGAACAACACATACTGGAAATGTGGGCAGGATTGAAATAATTCCCTTGAAACCATTCATATTTTGTAGATATCCTAGAAATTTGAGCAGCTTTGAAAACATATCTTTAAAATATTATTAGTATTGGAAGAATGTCCTCTAAAATCTATGAATATTTGTGCTCTACACAAATGAGTTGACCTGAATGGAACGTTATTTGCAAGGATGACAGTGACCTACCCAGAACCCCAATTATCAAGTTTCAGCTAATTTGATTGGAAATTGTTTCAGATACCTTTAAAATATAGAATATGTGGAGGTACCGTTGTATGGGGGCCATGCCAATTTGTAGATCTGAATCAAATATTATTTTGCAAGGAGAGAAGAGACCTGCCGAGAAACCCAATTGCCAAGTTTCATCTTATTTGGTTGGAAATTGTGTCACAAAACTTCAAAATACCGAAAATCTGGAGGTAGCGTTATATGGGGCTATACCTATCCCATTTTCCCATTTTCAATACCAATCATCCTACATAAATAAAAATTTTTGTGTCAAATTTCAAAGCCCTAGATTAAATAAATTAAATAATGTGGACTCGATCGTGATTTCAAAAGACAGACGGACATCGCTAAATAGACTTAGAATTTTACGCAGATCAAAAATGTTTTCGACCTGTTGCAAACGGAGTGACGAATTCAATACGCCTTCCATTTTATGGTGGAGGGTATCAAAACGAAGTAGCAGGCCTTGAACCGAAGATTAAAAATATTAATCTATGAACAGATGACAACACCGGCTACGGGACTAAACTTCTTTTATAAAATTAAACTTCCAGTGGTTAGACGGCCTTTCTCAACACTCAGAGATACATGCGATACAAATTTCCGATTGATCCTGTAGAGGCCCTACACTCTACTTGAGCCAAATATTTGCGGAAATTGAAAGAAAGCCATTACAAATTCATGATTATGGTGGAAATATCCCCCTACAGTATGTAGGATATTTCACGTAGCATATTTTCGTATTTATCGATAATCCCAGGTTGGAGACTCGGATACCGTGCCCCTGGATATGTAGTTCTTCCGGATATATTACATTTCGTTGTAATGTATGCAACAAGACCAACCTGCGGTACAATTTTCCGAAAAATCCAAAAATAAACGACCGATTTTATTTTATATAGTTTGCAACTATAGACGAAACATTATTATTATTATTTAAAAAAATACTATATAATATTATTAAATACATATATAAACGTATATATATTTTCACATCATACAGATATACATAGGCCGTATATATCCAAATGCTGCATCATTATACAACGTCATACAGAGCGAGCAGTTAAAACATAACATATAAATTATGAGTTTGTTATACCTTCAACTCCCTTCTCATCTTTGAATCACCTTTCCCATCTCCCCCAGACGCTGCGGCATCGACAGATGCATTTCACATTTTCTTATATTCGATACGTTCAACTTTAACTTCATCACCAATCAGCTGATAGACATATGTCACCACAGTTGAACTTTGTATGTCCATTAACACAAACGAGGGTATTACATTGGTGTCCAGGGGATTAAAGGCTCCCGTTGCCGAACCGGGATTAATGTAGAATTTATTGCCATGTTCATAGGCTTCGAATTTGTATGTATGGCCGGTGATAAGTATATCAACATCCAGTTGACGTTGCACCAAAGCCAAGGCTTCCGGATCTCCTCGAGGCACAACCTGATGTCCATGACACAAACCAATACGAAATTGTCCCACGGTAACCACCTTTTGTTCTGGGTACGAGAGATTATCATCAAAATCGCCACGTACTATGTGAACATCGTTGGCCAATGTTTTGAGATAATCATGGGATTCTTTGGTGCACAGATTGCCGGTAACCAAAATGTGATGGATACGACCCGGAACCAGGAGTCTGCAAGGGAAAATTAGTCACGGTCAGCAGGGAGAATGATAGTAAATACGATGAATGGGTACTTACTTTTTAAACTTTGCTGGCAAACTACTGCAGCGATAGGGTATGTGTAGGTCACCCAAAACTAGAACCAACATTTTATAACTTGGCGAGGTTTAGGAACGTTCTTTAAATTTAAAAATTACTAATTTTTTCAATCAAAATACGCCCAGAAGATCGACACTTTTGACAAAATAATGATAAAATAAACACTTTGACGGCGTCAAAGAACACTGACAATGGTTTTGAGTTTTTCAATGCAGTGACAACTCATAATTGTAATAGCCATGTTCACACCTTTTCTATTGGTTGAAGTATTTCTGGAAACAATTCCCGTAGACAAAAAAACAGACAAACCCTACGTTAACAAAAGAAGGGACAATAGGGCTCATTTTTTATTTGCCAAAATACCAAAGTTTGCCTTTGTTTTGTAGGCTATTCGTGTCATTCGGTAGTTTTTCCAATTTAAGAAATATGTCAAATAAATTGTCATAATTAAGAACTCGAACATAATTAAATCGAAATTTTAGTTGTGTTCTAGAATTAGAAGTCACTTTTGCACATTTTACCCAAAAAACCGTTTCCGATCATCAAATAGGTTCAAAATGTTCTCTCTCTCTTTTGTTCACATGATTTTTACGGGTTTTTATGTAGTGTCGCCAATTTTTTCTCTGAGACAATATAACGACAATTGCTGACAGTTTGCTCTCTTGCCACTTTTAGCCATAAAAAGTAACTTTCAATGAAAATGTACGCATACGCATTTATTTAAGTACGACCCTAATATATCAACTCGCATAAACACAATTGCGGCGCCAAATAACCCCAGCTATGCTTAGACGGCGTACTATTTAGGAATGACTTTGTGATTCGCCAGACGCTTTGTTGACATCTGAATTGTTGGAAATGGAAAAGGCGGCAGCGGAAAATGATGGTTGGTTTTAAGAAATTAACAAATTATCGGATCATAATTACTTCCACATATCTTTTGTTTTAGATAGTGGTAGCGTTAGCCTGTTGGTCATTGTCTTGGACACCAATCCTTCGCAACGCATAGTGCGCCAAAATCCAGACAATCTGTCACAATGTTTAGATGCAACAGTGGCCTTTGGCAATGCCCATTTAATGCAAAAAGCTCAAAATAAATTGGCGGTAATATCCTGCCATCATCATGCAACGTAAGCCAATTAATTACGTGCTCTCATGATATGTTTTCTGTATTGTGGGTTTTCTTTCATTTTAGAGATTTCTTGTATCCCATGCCGGTGAAACAGTTGGAGGTTCGGCAAGTCGATGGCCAATATGAAGTATTCAGTTTGGTGGAGAAAACTGTGAAACAACGTCTCAGTCATATTATAACAAATGCTCCCAAGATAACACAGCCCAATGAGAGTCTTTTGGCTGGCAGTATGTCCATGGCTTTGTGTTATGTGGCCAGGGTAGGTTGGAGGTGAAAGAAATCAATTCGTAAACTAATTTAAGGTTCCTTTGAATATTGTAGATGCAGCGCAATGCCCAACCGGGAGTTAAAATACATTCCCGCATCTTGGTGTTGACGGGTAGCAATGAATGCGCCTCCCAGTATATGACGTATATGAATGTTTTCTTTACCGCCCAAAAGCTGGGAATAGTCATCGATGTATGTGCCCTGGACAAGTCTTTGAGTTTATTGCAACAGGGTTGTGACATTACGGGAGGCCAGTACTTGCGCCTAACCCAACTGGATGGCTTGCTACAGTATTTGTTGTGGGTGTTTTTGCCAGATCCCAAAACAAGACAAATGCTTGTTTTGCCGCCACCCACAAAGGTCGATTATCGGGCGGCATGTTTTTGCCACAGGGAAATGATTGATATTGGCTATGTTTGCTCGGTGTGTCTATCAAGTAAGTCCCCAAAGTAATTTACATGAAACATTTGAGCTAATTTAGTGTCCCTCTCTATTTTAGTTTTCTGTAAATTTAGTCCTATTTGTACCACATGCCAGTAAGTATAGTGTTTGTTCCTACGTTCAACTCATTTTCTAATTTCTCTTTTTTTCCTTTTAGCACTGTTTTCAAAGTTCCTGGACCCCTACCGCCCAAACCCAAGAAAAAGAAAAAAGTTTAAGTACCTATCAACTCATCTTTATTTAATTTACAATTGAAGTTTTATTCAGTTCTTGTGATTTTACTAAAATACATTGGTCCAAAATTTGCCGGCAAATATGGCAAAACCATTTGACCATATTTCAGACTTTTTGGATATTCAAACCGATAAATATCACTAAACAGTTGTGTTAAATAACTCAAGTCTTTAACAATGAATGTGAGACCATCATCGTTGAAGGCCTTTTGCAGAGCCATATGGACAACACCATCATTTTGTACCGGTGACAGCGAACAGGTGGAATACATTAAACTACCACCCGGTTTTAGCAGGCGCATACAATTTGCCAATATGCCTGCTTGCAGTTCGGGTATTCTTAGTCGTTCCTTTACGCGCGTTGGCTTGAAGATGTTATTGTCATTCTCCATAAGAGAATGTCGATCATTGGTACATGGTACATCAATCAAAATCTTATCATAGCTACCATAGTCATCTAAATTTCGGGCATCACATTGATTCAGTATTAAGCGTTGTTGTCCCAGCCAACGTTCATCGAAATCAAATAAATATTCCTTCATAACTTTACGTATGCGATTAACCCGCGATTCCATTACGTCGTTACACACCAATTGCTCGGGATATAACGTTTGAAGCATTAACAATGATTTTCCACCGGGAGCTGCACAGGCATCAAGAACACGTTCGCCGGGTTTTACATTTAAAAGGAGGGGTGGCAATATTGAAGCACCATCCATTAGATAATGGGACAAGACACCTGCAAAACAGAGAGACAATGGGTAACTTTGAAAATGTCAATTTTTGTTTCTCAATAAATATCAGTACCGGTCAAACATTTGTTCGGCGGCCGAAACTCAGAACAATTTCCCATTTCATATGTATAGAGGGCGAGATTTTCGGGAAATGTGAAATCTTGTTCCAATTCGAATTGCAATGGAAAATCAGCATTGGTCTGATAATATTTATAATGATCCGATTCGGGTATCCAATCTTCCATGCCTTTAATACTAGATGCTGGTATAAAATCATAAAGAGCCCCAGTCCCATGTTCGGGATCAACAATACGTGTATGATCAATGCTAACAGATGATTCAGTTGTACTCCTCAGGGGAGTTTCTTTGCTTTGCATTTGTGGTGAGATGTTTTCATTTGCTGTTGAATTATAATCCAGATTTTCTGGCACATGTGCTTCGTTGGTGTTTTCGGGATAAATTAAATGAATTTCTTTGTCTTTCTGTTTTCTTGTTATTGCATCCATTTTGTCTTCTACTTCTTGGGAGTTTTGGTTTGTATCAATGTTCGGCGTTTGTGTTTCCGTTTGTCGTTCCTTTGCTAATTGTACCAGTGCTCGGATATTTATTGCTCCTAAAGAAAAATAAATAAGCTTTAGTTTATTCATGGATTACGTATGTAGTTTGTCAAAATGAGAAAATTGTTGGTGTTGAGAGTTCCTTCTAGGCTATGGACATGATATATTATTCTAAATAAAACATTTTTAAATGAAATTTCCAGCGCTTAAAAGGAATACTCTAAGCCACCAAAGACATTCTTTGACCACTTGAATGAAATTGTATTACGACATACCATCCATTTCCAGTTTGCTACAGGTCTTTTCATTGTCCCCAAAGTTATTGACCATGGCAATGTATTTGTTTTCTGTCAACAATGCAGCTCGTATGCTCCTCCATCGTACACCAAACACGGAGCCATAGAAATCATCAAAGTTTTCCAATGCCCTGTCGGTGTTGTTTTTCTTTTTCTGTTGTATTGACCATCTTGTTTTGCCACCCTTCCATCTTTGTGGCACTACCAATATATTACGGGCTCTTAACATTTTCCAATTTCCAACTTGATTGTGATTTTTAAATTTGCAGTTCACAGTTTTATAACAAATGCATGCTACTCCATAGATTAGATCAGCTGTTTTTGTTTTGATTGTGCAAAACAGCAGTAGTATATGTGGCATTGCCATATTGTTAAAAAGTAGTAACGGAATTAGTGAATGACGTATCGTAAAAAATAAAATGCTGCAGTTAAAAAGGGCGGGAAAGCATTTTCTTTCATATTAACGACCATGCAGGGGACTCCTTGTATGTTGAATTCAAATCCCATTTATTATCCATGGAGAGGGGCTACATGCTGAAACAGGCATGGTAAGAAATACTTGTATAAAAAGTTAACATAATTTCTGAATACCCTCCCTTAAACCTAACCTAATTTATGTTCCAATAAAATAACTACATTTGTTATATATATTTTACATTTATTTATTTATATTTAAAAAGAAAAAAACTTAAAAAATAAGTACTTGTACATTTAAAATAAGACTCATTTGTTTTTTTTTTTGTGTAGTTAAGTACAAAGGCGGCAGGTTTTTCGTCTATTTTTCCGTTTCTTTGTAAAGACAGTTTTTTTTAAGATATAACTTAATATTGGAGGTAGTATCTAAAGCCTAACCTTCTTAGCTTTTACAGCAAAGTGGGATAGTATAAAATAATGAAAAAAATATATTAAAAATCTCTTTTTTACATTTAGCTGAGTCACTTAGAAGCTACAATAGATTAACATCAACATTTTCAATGCTGTTTGTTTAGAAACACAAAACAATCCGCTTATAATTCCCCTTAAGCTGTGGTACCATTTGCCGTTTTCGTTCCATTCAATGGTGTGCTCTCATCGCTAACAGCTGGCTTTTCGGGATCATTGCTCTTCACGGCAGCCTTGTTCCAGGGTTGTTCCTCGCCCGAACCAAAGATGGTGTAGACCAAAAATTCAATGGTAAACAGGGCAATGGTTACAAAGAATATGACACGCCAGGCTCCAATGTTTTGCTGAAGGGAAACACAAAAAAAAAAAAACAAATTAAAGGATGTCAATTCTAAAGGCATCTTCACTTACATTTCCCTTGGTGATATAACCCACAAACAGCGGCACAATAATACCCGGCAATGTGGCCACAGTATTTGTCAAGGCCACCAGGGTGCCTGCATAATTGGGAGCAATATCAATGTGATTGGAAAGGAAGCCGGAGAACATGCCACCCATGGCCACAATGCCCACAGTCATGACCACCACGGCGGCAGTGTGTTTGCAGCCAATATAACACAGGATCAATAGACATATGCCAGGTATGACGGTGCAGATGCTGGTGGCGGTTTTACGGGCAATGGTGGTGTTAATTTTTTCTAAAAAAATTAAAAAATATTAATTATTTTCCTAAGTTAGTTCCAGAATCCAGACTTACGTTTGGCCTTAAGACTATCCAGGGATTTGCCCAAAATCATACTGAATATCAACATGGGGAAATAGGGCAGGGCACTGGCCACAGCATTACTGGACACGTTGAAGGCCAACACTTGTTTCATGTAGAACGGGATTTCAATGAGGAACATATACCAGCCCCAGTTATTGCAGCAATGAGCCACCAAAATTGCCCAGAATGGTATCGAGGTAAACACCTTCTTCCATGGCACCGGGGGATGTTCTTCCTTGGCACCATGCTGGTCATCACTGCCCAAGGAGGAGTTAATCATTTGCCTTTCTTCCGGGCTAATAAAACGCTGCTTGTTGGGATTGTCTTGTACCAAAATAGTCCAGAGCAACATCCAAACACAACTTAGGCCACCCATGACATAAAAAACCGATTCCCAACCCAAACCAGCGGAGAGAACACCAGCCAATAATATGGAAATGGCTGTGCCAAAGGATGTACCCACATAAATGATGGTAGACATGACAGAGCGTTCATTGGGTGGAGCCCAGGCAGCAATCATACAATGCATGGCAGGGAAAGTGGCACCGCCACCAACACCCTCCAAAACACGCATAGCAATTAGGCCGGCATAGTGCAACTCCGTCAGCACAGGGGTTAGCAGGGTGCACACCACATTAATGCCCACCGAGAACAACATGACCCATTTGGCGGAGAAATTTTCAGCCACACGGGCACCGGGAATTTGGGAGACCAAATAACCCCAGAAATAACAGCTAAGCAAGGTGCCCTGCAAGGGTTCGCTCCATATGAAGGGACCATCCTAGACAAAACAACAACAACAAAATATTAGAAAAATTCCATAAAATTAAATCTTGAGATCTAATTACCGCTGCCGTTGTGGCCGTTGCATTGGCGTCAGCACCTCCTGGGGGTAAACAGATTTCCACATCACTTTCTTCTGTTAAATTGGACAAAGACTGTCCCGCTCCTCCACCATGTGAACCATGTCCAACTGCCGTGTGATTCAACATAGCCACCATGGCCACACTAAGATTCACCTTGAGACCATAAACAATGGCCATACCAATGGAACCCAATACCGCCAGAACATAACGAGCTGGCACACATTCTGCAAATAAAATAAAAAGGAATGAGGAAACAAATAAGTCATTAAAATTAAGTTGCCAATAAAGGGTTGGGTTGGGTTCGTTTGGCCCCAACCACTGCCAGTCCTTTAAATGACATTCAGGATTTCCAATTAGACATTTTTGTAAACTGAATTGAATTTTTCTTTTTTTTTGTTGTTGATAAAAGGTGTTGCTTGCTGGAAATATTTGTGGGTATTGTATTACAACCACCAAAGGTGGGGGTGTGGGGTTTTAAAAGTCTGTTTAGGTCATAAAGTTTACAATATATTTGATTGCTGGAGAATTTTACAAAAAAGGAAATAAAATTTGAGTTTTTTTTTAATTTATTGTGGAAAATTGGAATTTAAGAGACTTTTTATGTCGACCCAAATGAAATCATAATTATTTCGTGACGGGTTTTTGGACATAGAATTGAAACACAAGACTTATTGAGCTTTGTTGGGTTAAAGGGCATAATAAAATGGTGGATAATGATGTAGCTGATAAATTATCTCGAGGCGATTCCAAGTCGATTGATTTACCGATTGATGGGACTGTTAACCTCCAATAAGCTATTGTGTCAGTTGCTTCAAAAAATCTTTCATTGAAGAAGATGGTACTCGGAAACCGGATGCAAGGTATCTTTGACCATCTACTCGGTAATCTCGAAGAGAAAAATAATATACCTTATTTCACTTACTAGGTCAGATCCAAGAATCGTGGTAGGCATACTGCAGTCAGACATCTAAACTCAAGATGGGACAACAGTATTCTTGACAACATCTACCTTTCAGATGTCTCTTGTTATTTGGTAGGTGGGACATAGAAACTCTAAGGTACCTCTCAGACATAGATCCAGCATCATCCTTTACAAGTTTGCCAATGGCATTCCCTGGCTAGGCAGACCACTCTGCTATCTTTACATCTCTCTATAAATCTTTTCTTCTCCCTCTCGCTACAGTATCTCCAACAATTTTAATTTCTTCCTAAAAAAATGAACAAAATCGACCAAAGGTCTCTGAGTGAAGCAGTTGCCGAATCCCGTGTAGCTGCGCATCCTTGAACAAAAAAACCAAATGTGGGAAATTTTGTTGGAGACCCCATGACCATCGAAAAACTCCCTGTCGATTTCGACATGTCCGTCCTTCTGTTAGAATTACAATAAATTGCACACTATTAAATATAGAACGTTGAAAATTTTCACAGGCATTGATATTATTCCTAGGATGTTTGGTCTTAAAAGTAGATTAGTAGATTCAGGGTTAGCCTTTACATAGCGTACCTAATGATATTCGGTATTTCAAAGGTTTCTGCCCCAATCTGCAAACAAATCAGCTGTTATTTAATATTTTGGTAAATTGTCTCTTGCCAAAAATATTAAATTAAGGATATCATATGTTTATGATTTATGGGTTTATTTCTCTTTCGAGACGATGAGCCGCTTAACCAATAGCAAAACGCGTCGCATAGTGGTGATTGTGTGTGATAGTGTTTGTCAGGCTTTCCTTTCCACTGTTAATTTAATTTATCAATTTTGATTAAGTTATGTTATTTTCAAAGGTCGGCCTAGACGAACTTATGGTTGTTTTTGTATGTTCTTTAATTATGCTATTCCTGACTGTAGTTGAGATTGCTTTATCGTCTTGGTTATAGGTAGCTATTTTTGTAGATTTAAACATTGAATAAATCTTTATTTAAATATAACCCTAGAACTTTTCCAGACCTATTCAAATATCTCCAGTGTATAATTCACCCGGAGTAAAAAAAAAACATAAAAATATTATGGGACGAAATATGTTTGTCATATCGGACAAGATTTATTCAAGGAGAAGGTCGTGTGTGTTCCCACTGTAATATAGTTGGCAATAAACTATTTTAGTTTTTTTTTATCATTTCTAAATTAAAATATATTAATTAAAATGTATTATAGATTTGAAACAAAGAGGGCAACAGAACAAAACATATGTACATCACATGCAATATCGATACGCTACAGTTGTTTCGGCTAATATAAGCGATAATTAATTTGTTGTGTGGTCCGGCTTTCTATGTTTAGCGACTTCCGGCCGTCTATCCGTTTGTGGAAATCACTTTATCTTCCGAACGTAATGAAGTAGGTTGATAAAATATTACTCAAATGTATATTATCTCTGCAGGACTTTTGGTATTGGAAATGGGCCACGTAGGTCCACGTTTTGGTATAGCCCCCACATATTTAGGTGATTTAAGCGACATTATTTACCGGAAATGTTTCAAATTTGGTATTTGAAGTTCGTAATCGATACTACGGCCTATGACAGAAAATTGTCCGTGCAGGTCCATGCCTTCGTATAGCCCCAATATAACGGCACCTACCGATATTCGGTATTTTGATTTTTTAGAGACATGATTCACCAGAACTGTTTCAAATTTCTTATTTAAAGTTCGTAATGGATGTTACAGCCTATGACAGAAAATGGTCTGTACATACCTCATATAACGGCACCTCCCGATATTTATTGTATTTATTTATTTCAATTCATTTGTGATCAAAGCCTCCAAGGCCAATAATATGTATCAACTTGCATTAAATAATATATCCGATCCGATATTCGGTATTTTGATAATTTTAGCGACATTATTTACTGGAACTGTTTCAAATTTCTTTTTTAAAGTTCGAAATCGTAACTACAGCCTATGACAAAAAATTACTTATGCAGCACCACGTCTTTGTATAGCTTCTATATAAAGGTTCTCATTTGAGCGGTATTTTTCGGTGGATTTTCTTTTTTGAAAAATTACAAGTTTCTTCCGGCCCGGCCGAACTTAGCTGTAGAAATTTATTATCGGGTCATGTTGATGATTTTTTTAAACTAAAATTGAAGAAGAGTATTTGGGCAACGTTGGGTTTCAACAGGACGGCGCTATGAGCTACACAGCCGAAGCTACATTCGATGTTTTGCGCTTTGTTTTGGAAAATCGCATTATCAATCGTAGAGTTAATGTTGGTTGACCACCTCGCAGCTGGGATTTGACAGCGTCTAAGATAAGTGTTTCGTCAAAAAGTATCTACATCATTAACCCATTTTTATATCCTTCACCACATTGTGGTAAGGGTATTCTGTCATTGTGCATTTGTTTGTAACATGGATAAGGAAGCGACATAGATCCATAGTTACTTTTGAGGGTCTTCATAAAATCACTTTCTGAGTCGATTTTTGCATGTCAGTCCGCCCGTCTTTCCATGTATTTTTGTGAACAAAATGCAGGTCGCATTCATTGTCCGATCGAGATGAAATTTTGCACAAATTATTCGTTTTTCCCAAGGATCAACCCTATAGAAATTGGAGATAATTAGTCGAAATTTAGATATAGCTCCCATATATATCTTCAACCGATTCCGGATCAATTGTGCACCAAATGGCCAATTACAATGCAAATGACCTGAATTTTGGCACATCAGACCGAATTCGGTCTAGAAGCAAGTACATAAAATTTGGTGAAAATCGGTTCTGATATAGCATTACTAACATATATATATTTCATCCGATTTGGTCTTTAAGTCCCTCACATTCGTAGTATTCGACAACAATGATATTTGGTACCAGATATCAGATGCAGCCAAGAAATACCTCTGCTAAATTTTATCAAGATCGGTTGGGATATATCTTTAACAGATTTCGAGTTCACAAAACCAAATGGCCAATATCACTCCAAAACAACTGAATTTTAGCACATCCGACCGAATTCAGTCTAGAAGCAGGTACATCAAATTTGGTGAAAATTGGTTCTGATATGGCTATAACTTCCATATATATGTTTTATCCGATTAAGTGTTTAAGTCTCTCACATTCGTACTATGGATTCGACAACAATCATATTTGGTACCAGATATTTTATAGAGCTCTGAAATACATTTGCCAAATTTTATCGATATCGGCTAATATTTGGATATAGCTCCCATATATATTCTTAATCCAATTTCAGGTTTATTGTGCAATTAATGGCTAATACCAGCCCGAATGGAGTGAATTTCGGAACATTTATAAGAAGACAAATATGACCTTTAATTTCAATTACAATTTTAAAAAATGGATCCCGTGGTTTTCTCCTTCATCTAAGCTGCAAATATCCATAAATATCTCCAATTCAAACATCTATTCTCAAATTGCAAGGGTTGGCCGAAACAATCGAGAAAACATTTTTCAAAAATTCATTGCTGGCAATTTTCCAAAAAATATGAATTAAAACAAAAAAATGAGTGGAAAATTTTTTTGTTCCAAAAATTTATTAGCACGTGCTTGGCTGAGTTCTTTTATATTGGCTATTGGAGATCACGTTATGACGGCATGAACATTGGCATTTTATAGCCATTAATATGTTTTTTTTATCTCCAGGTATAAAATATCAAATCGAATGGGATTTGTCCATAATAAGGTCGGAGATTCGATTATAGCCACATTATATTAGTGGAATAGTAGGGCATAATGAAAAGATGTTTTGGGCTAGCCTAAGGAAGATAGACGAATTCAGAATATAGATTTTAGTAGTATCAGAAGAAATCGTGTTACCCTTGGGTTCTATACGAAGACGTGGTCAATTTTTGTCATAGGCCATTACAATATTCAAATAGGAAATTTCGGTGATATGTAGCCAAAAATCGTCAAAATACCGAATTTAGGGAGGTTCCGTTATACAGGGGCTATACGAAGAAGTGGACATGCACAGACAATTTTCTGTCTTAGGTTGTAGTACCCGTTATGAACTTCAAATACCAAATCTGAAACAATTCCGGTGATAATGTCGCCTACAATCGTCAAAATACCGAATATAGGGAGGTACCGTTATACAGGGGCTATACGAAGACATGGTCCCGCATAGGCAATTTTCTGTCACAGTCTGTTGTACCCGTTACGAACTTCAATTCAGGTGAATAATGTAGCTAAAATTATCAAAATACCGAATATCGGGAGATACCTTGCTATGCGAAAACGTGGACATTCACAGACAATTTTCCGTCTTA